AAATGACTGTATTTTTAGAAAGTCTAATTCATGCAATAGGTTTTTATTTGTTTTGTTTTTGTTTTGTTGTTTGCAGTGAAAAAGAATGCAGGCATGCAGGCACTTGCGCACGCTTGGCTGATGCTGTTCTGCCACTGAACTAAATCTCCATCCTTAGGTAGAAAAATTCTTTAGCTTTCTGGCTACAAAATCAAAAGTCAATCATTTTTCTTTGCAGAGTCACTGCTCAGCTACCTAAAAATGTGTATTTGAACACTGGAATTATGTCTGAATGGTCAAATATTTAGAAAATAATTTCAGAGAACAGGGGCCCTGTGAGTGTCAGAGAAGATAAATGATCTTTCCCATCTAATTTTAGCCCTTGTCACAGAGGATACAATTGTCCAATATGAACTTGCTTCTAAAAATAACTGTGGGCAGAACTATGGCCTGTGGTAATTTAAAATACCTCCTGCTAAAGACAATTATGCTTCATATGTATTTAGCTTTTTTGGGTGCATATAAACCCAACTACACTGGGTGAGTCTATTAACCAGACTCAATCCTGTTTCAGCTGAGGGCAAGTTTTCAAAGATGTCATGTAAAGAAATAACATGAGTTCACGTTTATTTTTACTTTTCATTTTTTTTCTGCACAGTAAGGTTTTATTTTTAAGAAGAAGGACATACATTTCATAAATGAATCAATTCATGGCCAACTCTCTGGGCCAGGCCATGTTGACAGAAAGACAGGCTGCAGAGGGCTGGGGTGGTGGAGACGGCCTCTCTGCTTTCAGCAGTCAGGGTGTGTTAATTTTGGAGAGAAATTATTTATACTACTACTGCAAATGTTTAACTTAGCAAAACCCTGCTGTGGGAGAGAGAAAAGCTGATGGGTATGGCTCATCCAGCAAAAATATCTGCTTTTCAAGTCTGTAAAAAATTTTTGTTTTGATAAAAGAACAAAAACATATTTTCAGGGTTTTTAAAAAAATAGTAGATGGAATGTTTGTTTCGTTTTGCTTTTTTTAAAAAAGAGTAGTCTATTAAATTCACATTTAAACTCGGGATTTAGGAAAAAAGATCCACTCTAGAAATAAATTTGATTAACTTCTTTCATGGAAAGTGTACAAATATTCATCTGCTGCAGTAACTATTAGTCACTTGTGCAATTTAAGTGATTTAGAATCAAGTGAAATTAACATTTCAGTTTCTCAGCTGCACATGCCGCATTTCACAGTCTGCATGGCTATAGGTGGCGGGTGACTGTCACATTAAACGGTGCCGATATAGGACACTGCCATTGTCACCATAGGCCTGCTGGTCTCACTTGAGAAATACAGTACTATAGGTCCCATCTATTTTAAAGATATAATAAAAAAGAACAATGGCAAACTACCAAGAACATAGACAGAAACAAAACAAAGCAAAAACAATGAAAATGATACAGGGTTTCAGAACAAAATGATAGGAATTAACAGTGGTTGTTATATTACATATTGTTATCTTCCACAAAGTTGTTCAGATTACCACAGGTAAGAATGCAAGACTGATCAAACCATTAAAGAGAATAAAAAAATAAAAACAAAAAACCCGTTAGAAATTATATAGAGTTTCATTAGATAAAATGGTAGGAATTCACCAATGGTTGTTATATTGCATATTGTTGTCCTCAAATTAGTTGTTCAGATTACCAGATATAAGCATGCAAATTTGTCATAACTAAATCTTGGAAACAACCCAAATGCCCATCAACTGAGGAATGAATAAAAAAGATGTGGTATTTTTATACAATGGAGTATTACTCAGCTATAAAAAAGATAAACTGGAGGCTTTTATAGGTAAATGGATGCAACTAGAGACCATATTCATAAGTGAAATAAATCAGACCCACCTCATATTATCTCCCTAGCGTAAGAACCTGAAAGAGTAAATAAAACCCATCTATAATTTCTACATATATTCAGTATTCAAGAGGACATATCGATATTTAATTTGGAGCAGTAAATGTCTTTAAAAACACAGAAGTAATGGATACAGCCCTAGGTCCCATCCCTGGCACTGCAAACAAACAAAACACAAACCTGAAGATTCTGATGATGCGAAGGTGACCTGCTGGAGTTTCACCATGTTGCTGTTGGTAGTGCCAGCGATGACTCTTTTGTTTCTTTAAGACAGATGCCAGAGATTTCACTGGATTATCCCGGGCAGGATGACAGATCAGGGAAGCAGACACGGTGTTTCCCATTACCAATAATCTGGCTCCTTCTCAAGAGCCAGCTCTGTCTTCTGATGAAGGGTGTGGAGTGAGCCTTCTGTGTTTTGAGAGTCAGGAAAGAAATGAAACTGGCCAGTTCCCTCCCCAACCCCTCTGAATGTTTGAGATGGAAAGAGAGGCGGCGGATGCCTCCCCCGAGGCAGACTAGCTCCTGATCGGCCCAAGCACAGCACCGCTTGGTAGAAGAACTCAGTCTCGGGGGCACTTAGGCGATGTCCAGGAAACCCAGGGAGGGCACCCTGAGTCAAGCAAAGCCTCACACAGGTACGGCCTCCTGTGAAAGCCCATGGTGCCCTGTGGCCAAACTTGGCTCAGGGTGAGTTCCCAGTGGCTCTGGAGAGTCAAGTGGACAGTCATGAAGTATGTGGCAGCAAGGGATGGTGGCCACAAGGCAACAGCAGATCTTGAGACACAAAGACCTTTTCCATGCGGAAATGAAATTGAATGGACTTCTTTGTTAGAATGAGAAGAACAGAGGGATTGAGGCACCCCTAAGAGGGTTCTATAGAATTTCCTCCAAATCTGGCACCTAGAAGTTTAAGTGCGTTTTAACTTTGAACTTGAGAAAAACAAAATAAGCTTGGTGTTACTCGTACCCTGAATATATAGCTGAGCAGTTGAGACTTACTGCATGAAGTGATATGCAACCATGGTCTAATAATTCACCCTGTACCTTTGCATAAATAGTCTACATTTGAAAACAATTCACTTGATAAGGGGCCCGTCCACTTTCCAAGAAACTTTAATTCAGGGATTAAAACAGTGAAGTTAATTTTAGAACATTTTGTGACTATAGAAAAAATTTAAAGATATCCTTAATTTCCCCTAAGTCATAATTTTATGAGAATTTAAAACCCATAACATCTCAACATAAATAGCATAATTATAAATATTAACTGTTTTATTACCAAGTTCTTAATGAAACTTTTCAATTTATTCAGGCAGGTTTGGTCTGCATTGCATATGGTTTTTGTACATGATTCTATACATGATAGATTTTATATATATGTTAAAATTCATGGCAAAAATGACTTCATTTTCAAATAAGCTAACCCACTTTCAGAATTACAATGAAGATTTTTTTCTTGACTTAAATTTTGGAAAATAATATGTTAATTTAAAATATTTCCAGTTGGGCATGGTGGTGCATGCTTGTAATCCCAGCACTCGGGGGGCTGAGGCAGGAAGATCGTTGCAAGTTCAAGACAGTGTGGGTAACAAAGTGAGCTCAAGGACAGCCTGAACTGCACAGTGAGACCCTGTCTCAAAAAGACAAAGAAAAAATAAATGATAGAATAAAATATTTCCATTATTGTCATGAAATAACTTTTTCACTTGATCTTAGCCAAAAGGCCAAGAAGTGACAAAATAACTTTTTCAATGATTATGATCTGAAATACTTGAATTATTTCAATTCATTTGCTTTTCTTAGAACTCTAATCCCTTTATAATTGTAAAATTAGGTTCATGCCTGCACATGGATTAATAATGTCACATATTTACAAGTGCATTGGATTTGTATTAATATGTAAATTATATTAGTATGCAAAATGAATTCCTAATATTTTAATGTAACGGGTTCCAATTCTCTGTAGTTTATCTTTTATGGATAAGAGTTCCCTTGCTTCCCAGGAGAAATATTTATCAAAATATGTTTTGAGATTGGGTGTGGTAAGCCTCACATGATCTCACCCTGTTTTCTGAGTCTGTTGCTCTGACTTCTAAATCCCTGTTTCAATTTCAGGACATTTATGATGATGAAAGAAAAAAGAGTTATAGAAAAAATTTTAAATCTTGAGCTTTTGTCTATAATTTTACAATAGTACAAGGTGTGATCTAAAAAGATGGTGAATGTTTAAATTTTTAAAAATTTACTGTGATAAGAGATACATTGCCCCTAACAACCCCCCTCCAAATACTACCTCTTGTTGCAAACACTCTTATCTCAGCATGCTTGCCGCTTTCTGCAGCAGTTCTGGAAATCCTTTTTCTTGAGTGCCTTTAGTTACACTAGTAAGGCTACCTATTTGTCATAAACTGATTCAAAATGTTCACTTTTCATGATCTTTTTGACTTTGGGGAAGAGCCGAAAGTCGCATGGTGCCAGATCTGGTAAATAAAGTGAATTAGGACACATTGTACTGTTTTTATTTGGCAGAAATTATTGCAAGTGCTTTGAATCCATTCAGGACATCGTGTCAGCCATGAAAATGCATTCACAAAAGAGGACTTCTAGATCTGCTTCAGAAAGTGTCAGGGACACTGGGATAAATGTATTTGAAGCAAGGCGGATTAATGGCAATATGACTTTTACTGTAATAAGCTTTTATTTTTAAAACCTAAACTATATATATTTAGTCTAAATATATCTAAACTACATATACATATTTGGTTTGAGAGAAGGTCTCGCTATGTAGTCCAAGTTGATTTTAAATTCACTTTGTAACCCAGGCTGACCTCAAACTTGTGGTGATCCTCGTGCCTCAGCCTCCCAAGTGCTGAGATTACTGCATGGCAAACTAAATGCATGCGTGGAACATCAAAAAATGTGGCAGGGTTTTGGTAGAGAGACAAGCTAGTTCAGCTTCAATGAATTTATCAGAATATTGAAATCTGAAAACCCAGAAAGAAATCATCTTCTTTTTTCTTTAATGTAAAATTTATATGTTCTCAAGCTTTACGTGGCAGCCTGAACTACATAGTGAGACCCTGTCTCCAAAAAAAGCCAAAAGTTATATGTTCTGACTTAGTATTGCTTTTATTTTTAATCAAAATGTTGAGGAAGGATTATCACTTTTTTTCAATGCTCAGAGGCTTGAAGGGGCCAAGTTCAACAGTTATTATCCGACTCAGAGAAGATATGTTTATATCCTCATGCCGGGGTGTGTTGGTCAGGCAATAGAGCATTGCATTTCAGATGTAGTCAATATATGGGCCCAGCCATGACAGCAAGGGGCCCAATTGAAAGGGAATCTCTGATGGAATACAGTTGATCCTGTGTATCTATGGTTACCCCCACTCAAAGAGTCGACCAATTGTGACTAGAACATTAAACAAATTGTGTCTGTACTGCACATGTAGGTTTTTGTCTTCTTTTCCCTTCCTTCCTTCCTTCCTTCCTTCCTTCCTTCCTTCCTTCCTTCCTTCCTTCCTTCCTTCTTTCATCTTTCTTCCTTTTGTGCTAGGGATCGAACCCAGGATTTTGCACAAGCTACGGTAGGCAAGCACTGCACCATTGAGCTATAACCCCAGCCCTTATCTTTAGTCACCACTTTCTAAACCATATAGTATAAACTCTTTACATAGTATTCACGTGCATTAAGTATTGTAAGTAATCTTGAGACAGTTTAAAGCGCACAGGAGGATATAAGTTGTACGTGAAGACATGTCATGTTATATAAGAGACTTAAGCAACCATGGATTTGGGTATTCTTGAGGATTCTGAAGCCAATCCTCAGATTCCTAGGAATGACTATAGCACTAACCTCCCCACAGAAGCCCCGGTCTCGGGCCCCTCGAGAGATATCTTAGGTGCTCCTGACAAATCAGGTCTACATCGCCCCTGCTCTTGCTGGAAGAATCCATGCATCTTTCCAGTTCACCATAACCCATCTTGGGAGACTTCACCCACCGCAGTGGAGCAGTTCTTCTGGGTTGATTGCGAATGAAACCTAGCATGCAGTAATGAAGGCATGAATGCACGGAGGGCCTTTTCTCCAACTACCATTCCTTCCTTGCCAGCGGTGCCTTCTTTTTCCCCCTGGGAGTTGCTATTTTCCTCTTTCATCACTGGATTTTCTGTCGAATAAGATGAGCAGTTAACCTCTGAGGGCTTTTGACACATGTAAGATCCAATCATTAAGATTTCATGCACCTTAGGAAGGTTTTGCCTTCCACCCAGAGCTCAAAATGTACATGTATTTTTCAAGTCTCTCAACCTGTGAGGCTTCAGTAAAATACATTTCTTTTAGTGAACCAACCCAGAATGTTTTTCGTTATAGTAGCTAGGAACAATATCTTGAATAAAACAATGATAGGAAAAACAACAGTTATTTCAATCTGAGTAACCGTGCTGTAATGGTGTTTCTGTTCTCAAATCTGGTCTGAGTTATAAGATAAATATATGATGATATAAGTCTTATTCAATGAATGCAGGAGGTTGACTTAATCTAGCAAGATGTTATTTACATATGAGCTTGGGACTTGAGCCAGCAATCAAAAGGGATTAAAATTTAATGATTACATCATCTAATGATGTCTTCTTTTTGGCTAGGACAAAAGCGCTTTCTGCAGAATTTATTTAGAATACATTTGAATCATTCTAGCTATGTCACCTTGGGAAAATTACTTAATCTCTTTGTAGCTCTGTTTGTTCTTGTACAATATAGTGTCTACCCTGTTGGTTTACTAAAGACATATGGAAAGCATTTAGATTACCTTGTAATCTAATAATAATCTGTAATAGTGAAGTCTATGTAAGTATTAGCAGTTATTGTTGTTACTGTTGCTATTATTTTTTAACTGGTATAGGAAAACTGGAGAGACTTTACCTTTGTTCTGAAGACATGATATACAGTAGGTAAATACAATTTGCACTTAGAGAATTTTTAAACACATATTTTGTGTACTGAAGTATTTTCCAAATATCTATTTTAAATCAAATATAAGCCCTTTCTGGAAATAATTTACTTTTAGATAAAAATGGTGTTTTGTAAATGAATGACATCTTTGGAGAATGAAGCTAGAGATAACAATTAGAGGGACAGGAAATGAACTCTCTTGCTGAATCTCCCTCATCAGTACTTGGATCTTGCAGTTTTATTGTTCACTGACCTGCATAAAGGCAGTCACAGGTAAGTATGTAGGAGATTTCTCACCTTTATTTTTTATTTACCTCAGTACCCCTTTACTAAGACAAATATTACTTTTCAATACTTTTGTAAGGTTGTGCGATACCTCTCAGAAAAAATTATTTCTGTTTTTAAAATTTTATAGTCTTGGGACAAGGTCTGTGCCATGATAACATATTAACTCCTTCGGAGTAACATTTAGCTCTACAAACCTGGGCAAAATATTTAAAATGATGTCTTCAGCTGCTAGACTAGAGGCGTCACCTGACTCCACTTCCTGTGAGAAGAGAGACACAGGCAAAGCCTCTGGTCAGGGAGGTTCTCTGCACAGAGGCACCTTCCTGGGCTGGTGACAGAGTCAAGACCCAGGAGAACACAGTGCTCTCCCCAGGCTGAAAAAGACAAGAGTTTCCAGAGGCTGAGGTGGCTGGAATTTGTGGTTCAGGGAATGAGAGAAAGGGGTGAGAGCTCCAGAAATCTGCAGAGTGTCCTTGTACATCTGTAGCTAAGAAAGAATCTGTGCATGTGGAGGGTTACACCAGTGAGACTAAGGAAAGCTACCAGGAAACTATCAGCTCAGAAACCACTGTACCAGGACATGGGAGTCCAAACTTTTGGCCTGGGCTGCATGGACTGAGGGGAAATTGTCTTGGACACACATACACAGGGCTCTAAAATTCATTTCACTAAATTTAAAAGGATTAAAATCATGTAGGGTATTTTTCCATCAAAATTAAATTAAATTAGAAGATAGCTACTAATTAAAATCTCAAGAATTTGGAAACAAAAAAATACATGCTAGTGCTGAGGTTGTAGCTCCATAGTAGATCATGTGCTTAGCGTGCGCTAGTTCCTTGGTTCAATTCACAGTATCAAAAACAAAACAAAAACTAACAACGATACAAACAAATATCCTAAATGAAGATAACATAAAAAAGAAAGAGAAAGTCATAAATATTCTAAACAAAATGATAACGAAAATGCAACAACATATCAAGATTTGTGGGATTTGTAATGACTAGAAAGTTATAGCCCAGAGTGGTGGCACATGTCTGCAATCCTAGCACTTGGGAGGCCAAGGCAAAATGATTTTTGTGAGTTTGAGGCCAGCCTGGGCTACATAGTGAGAGCTTGTCTCAAAAAAAAAAAAAAAAAAAAAGAAGAAAGTTATAGCTTTAAATACTTATACAGAAAGAAAGGTCTTTCATTTTAAATACAAGTTTCTGCCTCAAGAAGCTATAAGGAGAGTAAATTAAGCCAAAAATAGAAAAAAATAACAGAGGAAATCTCTGAAATAAAATTAGGGCAAACAGTATAGAAAAAAATCAATGAAATTTAAAATTGGTTTGTTCAAAAAAGAAAAAGATGAATAAGTCTATTAATTGTTTTACATGCAATAGATATGAATTAAAATATGCCATTAATATTGGTAAATGGAAGAGTAAAAGGTTAAACAAGAGAAAAAAGATGAAAGGCATATGCAGAGAAAGATGTACTTGTATTTTTGTGTTAATATGTAAGGAATATATGTGTGTGATCCTGGAATTCCCGCCCCCAGTATAAAAATGTTATTTAATCCTCTCCCTTGGGTGTGAGCAGGATTTGTAAGAAGATGGGATTTTCACTCCCCTGTTTGTGTTACATTATACAAAACCTTGTTGCAGCTGTCTGGATACTGTCTTCGACTTTGAGGAAGGAAGCTACCATATTGTGAGACAGTCACAGAGGGCCTGATGGTGGGCTTTAGGAGAAAATACCCCCCATGGACAGCCAGAAAGAAAACAAGGACTTCAGTCACACAATCACAAGTAACTGAATTCTGACATCAGCCAGCATGAGCTTGGAAGAAAGCTGAAACCTGAGAATACAGCCTGTCTGGCCCTTGAATTCTGTCTAATGAGATTGGAGCAGAAAGCGACGCATAGACTTGTAACCCATAGAAAAGTCAGATAATAAACGTGTGTTGCTTTATTATGCTGTATCTGTGGTGATATGTTATGTAGCAACAACAGACAAATCAGAAAAAGCAAGAAATCTTGATATAATACAAGGTTCTGTAATAATCAAACAGCTAACATCTCATTTAATGGTTAAAATACTGAACCCATTCCTCCTAAGATCAAAAACAAGGCAAAGGCACCTACCCTTATCTTTTCTCCTCAGCGTAGTACTGGAGGCAAGAGAAAAATAAACAACGTAGAAGTTGAAAGAAAGTAAGACTGTCTTTATCACAGACAAATAGATTGTGCATATATAAAATCTTAAGGAATCTTCCCTTACCTGAGTAGAACTAATTAAATTAGCATGTTTTAGGACAAATATAAATATATGAAAGTCAATTATATTTCCATATACTAACAACAAACAAGTAAAATTTTTAAAAAATTAAAATACCATTTATGGTAGGATCAAAAGCCTGAAACACTTGGATTCGTTTGTTTTTTCAGTTCTGGGAACCTAGGATCTCATACATGCTAGGTAAGTCCTCACCCACAAAGTCACATCTCCAGTGCTGGGATATAGTTAATAAAAATAGAAACAAGATCCATGTACTCAAAACTACAAAATATTACCAAGGGAAATTAAAGAAGAATAATTAAATGCAGAACCGTCACTGTGGTTATGGACTGGAAGACTTGGTGTTGGGATACACATAGTGTGCCAGGGAGCAATCTGGCCTCCCTGGCCAGAATATGATGTTTGATGGCCTTTCATCCAATTGTGTAAGGGTGCTTGGGCTCAGGAACTGTAGGGTGGGTTTTCTGTGGCAGAACTGAATAGATAAGACAGTGTCATTATGGCAGGAACCAAAAAAAAAAAAAAAAAAAATAGACCTGTATCATCTTTTGTATCCTTTTCTAAAAGGTTAATTTGTTTTATGATACAGGGCACTGAACCCAGTACCATATCAAGCTATATTCCCAACCTCTTTTTATCATTTTTTTTTTTGAGACAAGGTCTTGCTCTATAGTCCAGGCTGGCCTTCAAATTACTATGTAGCCCAGGCTGGCCT